GTTGTTTCTCTCTATCTCAACCCCATTTCACTTGTTTTATTTGAGTGACATTGCCGTTCCGATGTTATTTCCACCGAGGCACCGACATCTCCTGTTGATAAGGACATGGTGTTACAATTAATATATATATTTTCATAATGCTATATTTTATATTTTATTATTTTTTAGGTGAAAGTGAGGGGAACAGCCCCAAGCACGACGCAAACAAGAACAAAACATAAAATGAAACAAAATAAAGCTTAACCTAAATAGAAACTAATCAGAGAAAAAAAAAATAATAAAAAAAACTTCACGTTCCTTTGTTCTCAGCTGCTCTTAGTCTTCATTCCCTGCATTATTCGGAAGCAAACAAGGCCAAGCAACTTCTGCCAAGTCCTCTAATAAAATAGCACTACGAAGGTCCTTCGGGACCGCCTCCAAAAGAACCCATTTATGATCTAACTTAACCCATAATCATCTAGCCAGTCTGAGGCCCGATTTGTTTTTGTTTTTTTTTTTTTTTTTTTTTTAAATAATGTATGTTTTCATATGTTCATGCTCAAACTTATGTATTGACACGTGAGTCTATTCGAACTGTATTAATTAATCTAAAATGAAGGGAGTAAATAATTTTATTTCACCTAAGAACATAGAGACAGTGTGACAAAGCCAACTGGCTTAGTTGGTTATTTATAAAATTTTGAGATCATACATTGTCTAAAAAACATATATCATCTGTTTTTTATTAGTTGGCATGTTTAATTTCTTAGCAAAATTGGTTATAACACCCTGAAGCATGGTTTAGGTGCACTGAGCACACTGAACTTTGCTTAGTAACCAACACACCACCAACTATGGTATAAGGTGCGATGTGTGTTTTTAATGAAAAATTCTGACCACTTATTTCATCGAATGAGGTGAATTCGAGCTTGCCAAGTGGATGAGAGTTGTTCACCATTTTTTAAAACTGTTCTGTAGAGTGAAGATTCACCTAATCCGATGAAATAAGTGGTCGGAAATTTTCATTTAAGGCATGTATTGCACCTACACCATATTTGGTGGTGTTTTGTTTTGGCTACTACGAAAAGTTCAGAGTGCTTAGTGCACCTAATTAAGCCATACTTCAGGGTGTTACGACCAATTTTTCTTTTATCTTGTTTGCCAACACATATGTTTAATGATCGATATGTTTAATTATTTACAAAATAATAATATAATAAATTGATATTGTAAAATATATATTGAGACGATTTTTACAAGATCCAACATGATTATGTTTTACTATATTTTGAGACAATACTAGTTTTTACTATAACTATATGATAATTATAAAAGTTAGTCGATGAAGAGTGTGTGTTGAAGCTTAAGAGTTTTGATGATGATGAATAGAAAGCAAACTTCAACTAGTGAGAATTCTCTAAGTGTTGTGATTAGAATAGGTGAGCCCTACCTATGAAGACTCAAGGAGACTCCAAGGAAAGTTAAAAGAAAGTAGCTAGAAAAAGAGTTCCTCAGTGGAATAAACTGATTTCCCTAACAAGAACATGAAGACAACAAGTTGAGAAGTTTAACTTGGTTTGTGTTGAAGAAAGCAAGGTCCATGAGAACTTGGCCTACGAATGAAGTTCTAGTAGGGGTGAAAGTTCGGTATTCAGTTTGGGTTTTGACCCAAACCGAATCCAAATCAAATTAATTCGGTTTTGAATTTTCTAAACCAAAACCGAACTGAATTAGATTTGAGACCAAACCAATCCAAACCAAAATTTAAAATTTTAATTCGGTTCCGAACCGAAAACCGATTTTTTTAGGTTTTATTTCCAGATTATTGAAAAAGTTAAAAAAAAATAAAATTATACAGTAGATCTTTAAACTTTTAATAAATCGGCCTTAGTCCACATATAAATATATTGATATATTCACCAATTTTTATTCTTTCTTAAGCTGCTACTATAATTCCTTACAAAAAGAACCAAAATTTCCTTTTTCAAATTTGGGTATCCAAAAATCTCCTTCTTCAAATTTGGGTATAGATTCCGAAATATAGCAAAATCGCAACAGCAAAACAAAAACTTTGCATGAATTTGATTGAAATATATAGGGGAGAGGAAAAATGATATAAGAGAGGAAAGAGATTAGATTGAACTCAAAAAATTAAATTTGAGAGGAAGAAAATACTAGAGGAAAAATGAAAGACAGAGAAGGGAGGCATGGAGGAATGTGAGGAGAAAGATTGAGAATGAAGAAAGGATGGAAGGAGAGAGAGAGAAGGGGCGGTTGAAGGGTTTATAAACTTTAGGGTTTTTATTTTCTATTCATTTATATGGAAAGCAAAGGTTGGTGGGCTTATAAATTGGGCCTATCTTGTAGTAATTAAATCAAACTACCTTATCTCTTTTGAATTCGGTTTTTGGTTTTGAGAAGCCCAAAACCGAATCCAAACCGAAAAATTGAAATTCCAAAATTCTTAATCCAAACCATAACGAAATTTTAAAAAATCCAAACCGAATTGATAATTCGGATTGGTTCGATTCAGTTTTCGGCTTTTATCCATATTACTTTCACCCCTAAGTTCCAGCAAGGAGATGGAGAATAGAAGTAAGCAGGATCTTAATCCTTGACTGCGTGAAGCCCAAATATCCTTAACCTATAAGCATTGACGAGACAATCTAGTTTATGTTAAGTTTATTTATGTAACGATTGTTGTAAATATGTTAGGTTAGTTTATGCATGGAATTTATTAGAAGCGTGACAAATCTTGGCAAGCTTATAAAAGGAAAGTTTATAAAAGATAAGTCTTAATTTATGAAAATATTTTCTAAAGATTTTATCTTATAAAATCCTGTTTTAAAAGATATTATTTTTTTTCATAAATTTATCTTTAATAAGCTTTCTAAAAAGATTTTCTTTACAGATGATTTACTCAAAAAACGTGTATTGATAAAAAACGGCAATTTACTCTACTTTACATACGAGAGTATCAAGTATATAAAGTATAATTCATACTTTACACACTTTGTGAGTTTATGCATGAAGAATCTGACGAAATAAAGCTCAATTGTGTAAGTTTGCCAAGTCTAAGCTTTGTCATATTAGTTTCGGATTCCATGTGTAGCTTTCCTATCACATATTAGAAGTCAAGTGTTTGTATTGTTTTGGTTTGGGTGAGTGTTTTTTAAATCTATATTGAAGCTAAGTGAGAGAGTACTCAGGGAGTACTAAGTGAATCTAAGTCAGGGACTTAGGTTGAGTAGAATAGGGTTCTACTAGGTAGTAAGTTTAGTCTGGAACTTGTGAGTAAACTTCTAATTATAATAGGTTGTAAAATGAGAGTTAGCCATATTATATTGAAGTTATTTGGTGTTTGAAATTCCTTAGAGGGTCGAGGTTTTACTTCTAGTTGGTCCCTGGAAGGTTTTCGCGTAAAATCTTGTATGCATGGCTGAAGACACCTAATCGTGTCTCCCCAAAAACCAAACCCAGTGATGAATAACTTTTGCATCATTTATTTTTTGAATAAAGTGAAAGTGTGAAAAGTCTTGTGATGCGGTTGTTTTAATAAAAATAATCTTTTTTCGTTTTAAAAATGAACTCTATTTATGAAAATGTTCGGTCAAATTTAGTTTGGTCCATGATAAGGGTCCAATAATAGTGTATATGGATTGGGCTCGAAAAAAGATTTTCAACGATATATTATAAGCCCAATTCCGATGAATAATGAGGAAGTTATGGCCAAAATACTAAATTGGGCCTGAAATGGTTTTATATGGCCCAATGATCTAGTGAAGGCCCCATTAATCAATATTCCTAAAATTATTAGGACTGATTTTAATCTTCTAGAATAATTTAGAAGGTTATTTTAAGTTCTAATGGGATTAGGAATAATAATTGTATCTTTTATGAAAATAAAGAATTCTATTTGGATTAAAACAAGTGTTTCAAGAAGATTAAATCTGATTTTCAAAGATAAGTACGGACATTAATTAATCAAATTTAATTAGATTAAGGATTCCGTACGTTTTTAGAAAACACGTGAACCATAATACAAACTCCTAATTACGAACTTGAAACTACTACTACTACTACTACTACTAACTCTTCCATAATAAACTACAGCAGCAGAGCACATTGTAACTTTAATTTGCAATAGGTTGTTTTGGAGGTGAAACTTTGAATTGCAACTGGTTAATTTGGAGGTGAAATCTAATGGTTGGGAGCAAGTTTGATGATGGTGATGGAGTAGATGAGTTACATGTGGAGGGTGAGGGTGAATGTAGTCAGAAATTATAGTTGGGAGAGGTGTTAGTTGCAAAAGCTAACTTGATGAAGCTTTCATGGAGGAATGGAGAAGATGAACGTAGTTTGTGATGATTGGGGATGAAATTTTATTTTATTTTTCTTTTTTTTTTTGGCTAAAATTATTTTCTTTTTCCTTTTTTTTTTGGCTAAAAGTATGAGTTGGGTTGTAAATATCAATTGGGCTTGTAAGTACTCATATGGGTTAGAATAAATGGCTTACTCATCTAAAAATTATGTTCATGAAATAAGGCTCATATTATAAATAATAACTTTATAATTTTTTTTTTGAAAAAACTTTATAATTAGAGTTTAGGAAATTTTTCTTATTAATCCACTTGAAAGTTGTAATATGTTTATAGGAAAAATAATAATTTAATAATCTGAATATCTTAAGAAGATATTTTACAGTATAGGAAAATTATTCGTCCATTTTTATAAACGAGATTATAAGATCCGAAATAAGACATACTTAAGCTTAATAATTACAATAAATAATAATTAAATTGGTTTAAAAATTAGGGGTATTACATCTGGTGATTTTAATAATTGTCCCTTAAATCTTGACGATAGAATTGGTAGACAGATTACTAATAGAGAGACTGCCCCTTTGAAGGATCGTGTTCAATTTTGTGATTTGCAAGATATGACTCAAGCTGGAGCTAGGTTTACTTGGACTAATAAGTAGCTGGGTGAGGCAAGGGTATACAGTAATATTGACAGGGACTATGATAAATGATGATTGGATTAATGTGTTCCCTGGTTCTTATGTTTATTATAGCTCTGAATTGTGGTTTGACCATTGTCCAAGCATTATTCACTTTAAGGAGGAAGTAAGAACTGGTCCTAGACCTTTTAAATTTTTTGATATTTGGGGAAGTCATCTTGAGTTTTGGGAGCTAGTGAAGCATGTTTGGGACAAAGTTGTCATTGACAGGAAGTTGTTTCAAGTGGTTAAGAAGCTCAAGGAAGTCAAGAGAGTGCTCAAAGCTCATAATAAATCTGAACACTCATAAATAGGAGCTAGGTTCTTGGAAGCTAAACAGGAATTAGCTAATGTTCAAAAGAGAATTCAGGCTAATTATACTGATCGATATGAGTTTGTAGGAGAATAAAGCTGCGGTTCTAGACAAATTTAATAAGCTAAGGAAAGATTAATTTTCTTTTCTTCAGCAAAAGAGTAAGTTGAATTGGCTGAAAATGCATGGGTGATGAGAATACTGGTTTTTCCATAAGAGTATAAGGATGCAGGCTTATAAAAGGGTTGTGGCTATTAAAGATATGCGAGATTGTTGGTGTAATGATAAGAATGATATATCAAGGGCTATCACTGATTATTACAAGTGGCGTCTTGGTTCTGAGAACCCTTGTGATGTCAAAGTTGACCCTGAGATTATTGCTCTAGGGCCTCAGTTGACAATTAATAATCAATAAATTTTGAATACTCCTGTTACAAAGGATGAGATTAGGAAGGTGATGTTTGGTATTCATGGGATTAAAGCTCCAAGTCCAGATGGCTTTAACAGCTCATTTTTCAAGATTGGGTGGGATGTTTTTGGTAATGATGTGTGTGAGGTAGTTTTGGAGTTTTTTCAGTCAAGAGCTTAATTGTATTAACTTGGTCCTGATTCCAAAGTGTGATCATCCAGTTGCTGTAACTGACTTCAGACCAATAGCATGCTGCAATGTAGTGTACAAAGTGATCACTAATCTCCTCTGCAATAGGTTGAAGAAAGTTCTACCTGATATTATTGCCCCAAACCAATATGGTTTCATTACAGGCTGAAGAATTTTTCATAACATCTATATTGTGTAAGATCTTCTGGGTAAGTATAAAAGAAAGAGCTCTCCTCCTGGGTGCATTTTCAAGATTGATGTTAGAAAAGCCTATGATTCTATGAATTGGGGCTTCCTTGAAGATATGTTGGCTGCTTTAAAGTTTCCTGATCATTTCTGTAAGATTATAATGGAATGTTTTAGAACTCCTATCTTTTCTCTTGTTATTAATGGAGAAGTTAAGGGGTTTTTTTCCAAGGAAGAAGGCCAGGGTTTAAGGCAAAGGGATCCCTTATTACCTATTTAATTTTTCTTATGCATGGATTATATTTCCAGAATCTTGCATAAAATTGGTGATCACAAGGACTATCACTTTCATCCCAGATGCAGGGGGATTAAGCTTAATCATCTTGTGTTTGCAGATGATTTGATTGTTATGTGTAGCAATGATGAGAAATCTGCTGAGCTTATTTTAAGAGGCTTTACAACATTCGCTGCTGCTTCTGGTCTGATAGCTAATGAGGACAAGTCTAATGTCTATTTCTGCAATGTGCCTAAGGAAGTAAAGGATAGAATTATAAGCTTTTCTGATTTTAAGAAGGGCTATCTTCCTTTTAAATATTTGGGAGTACAAGTTAATGCTAAGAAACTCTCTGTTGATGATTGTCAGATTTTGATCAATAAGGTTGTTGCTAGAATTAGAATTTGGGGAAGCAGATCTATGTCCTATTATGCTAGAGTAATTTTGGTTAACTCTATTCTTTTCTCCTTGCATACTTATTGGGCAAACCTGTTCATTTTGCCCAAAAGGTGTTCGATGGAGTTATGGTTGTGTGTAGAAATTTCTTATGGGATGGTAGGGATGTTTTCTTTAGAACTTCTCCTATTGCTTGGGATATCATCTGTAGACCTACGAAGCAGGGTGGCTTAGGTGTTCATGACTGTCACATATGGAATGTTGTTGCAATGGGAAAGTATGTGTGGGACATTGCTAATAAGAATGACAGCTTGTGGTTAAGATGGGTTTGTCACCATTACATAAAAGGCAGAAGTTGGAAGAGAGTGGGCTATCCTGGGCAAGCTAGTTGGAAATGGAAGCAAATCTGGAAGATTAAGGAGAAAATTAAAGATGAGTTTGCTGGAAATGTTTGGAAGCATAATCATGGTGGTTATACTGTGGCTAGTGCTTACAGATGGATGCAGAATGATAATCCTGAAGTTCCATGGTGCAATATGGTCTAGAACAGGTAGGTACATCATTCCAAAGAATAGATTTATTGCTTGGATGGCTATGTGGGGCAGCCTGAGAACCAAGGAAATAAAAATTGAAGCAATATGGTGTAATTTCCGATGATACTTGTCCTCTTTGCTCTTAGGGTGTTGAAAACATTCAACATTTATTTTTTCACTATGATTACAGCAAGAAACTTGTTCAGCTTCTGCAGGGAAAGGTGCCCAGTTTCTCATAATTAGTTCTCTACTTTGGAGGATTGCAATACTTAGTGTTGGAAGGCTAAAAATAGATTCCAGAAGGTTGTTCAGCATGCTCTTTGTTCTGCACTCATTTACAGCATCTGGCAGTAAGGAAATGAGGCTGTGTGGAAGAGTAGATTGATTAGACAAGAAGTTGTAATTAGCAGGATATGTTATGATGTATATCATAGAATTAGTAACGTAATTGCTATTAGAGGTAAGGCTAGTGAGTTAGCTTGGCTTAAGCTCATTTGCTTAGGGGATTAGTAGCCTCCGTGTAAATTTTGTGATTGTGATTAATAAATTTTTTCCTTTTCTCAAAAAAAAAAAAAAAACAAAGCCAATTTCGGTTACTAAGGTATGTTATTCCGTATTTGAGTACATATTTGTTGATTTTTTTTTTTTTTTTTTTAACATTTTTGGTTATGTTGTATTTTTTTCCTTGGTGGGTGGGACGAGTTTAGGGGGGCCGCGACGGGTGCAGTGGCGGATCTTGAAACCTTTTCTTTCGGGGGCCAATTATATCAAACATAAGTGTACGTCTAAAAAAATTACAAGGAGTATAAGAATATAGCTAAATATAATAAATATTACCAAACAATTAAAAAAAAAATGCAAGTGTCACAATCTAATTCTTTCTCATACAATTGTCACAATCTATTTCTGTAGCAAACTATTAAAGCAAGTAATTTATTGACTTTGATAACATCTTGTCACCTAAAATATCAATTTGTTTATTAATGCTCCAATTAATCAATAGTACATAGTAGGGGTGGGACTTTTCAAACCGAACCGTGAAACCGCCCGTTACCGAACCGAACCATCACGGACCGATCCGTTTATAAACCGATAAATGTAAACCGAAAACCGAACTGAACCGTTCAATATCAAACCGAAACCGAATTGAACCGCTCAATGTCAACCCGTTACGGACCGTAAACCGATAACAAACCAAACTGCGCAAATCCGAACCGAAACGAAACCGAACCGAATGACCCGAACCGTTTATAAACCCGTTAATGACCCGAACCGTTTATAAACCGAAACCGTTTAAATCGAAAAAAAAAACCGTTTAAACCGAACCATTTGTAACCCGCTAACCGTTTAAACCGACCCGTTTATGAACCGAAACCGTTTAAACCGCACGTATAAACCGAACCGTTATAATCCGCTAACCGTCTAAACAGAACTGCCATAACCCGTTAAACCGTTAAAATCGAACTGTTTTCGAATCGCAACCTGTTTAAACTTATCCAATTACAAACTGCTTAATTCAAATTGAATTATTTACAACCTAAATGGCTAAATAGTAAATACAATTAAATAATTAATGTTAATAAATGTAGATCTAATCAAACGGCTTAGGTTTATACAAAGGTTTATATCACCTAGATCTAGGCCAACGACATTATTAATATCGTTTTAGATTACTTATTTAATATTTATTTTAATTACAAGATATATCATTTGTATCTTTTCATTCCAGTAATAAAGTCCACCCAAATTATCTTCATTGTTCCTTGATATTCATGATCATCCAATAAGATAACATAAGATTGGAGATAAATAACATTAAAATTAGAGTAATATCAACAAGCAATTAAAAAAAGTCACCATTTTCATTGATTAAAATTCACAATACATATACCAATACATAATAAAACTACTATCACTACTACCCAGATTAGATTTCAGATTTATCAACTGAAACATCATCAAGTTTAGGGTTGCAAAAAATGATACATGATAAGATGAAGGGAGGAGTGAGAATGTGAGTGATTTGGGAGCAGAATCTTGAAGCAGCAGCCCAGCACCCAAGAGCAGAGGAAATAGCAGCAACAAGCAGGAAGCAGCACACGCAATAATAGATCAGCAACTTATCCGAAGCAAGGAATAATATAAGCAGAAGGGACTCAGCAGGAACTTATTTTTGTTTTTCAAAATTGCTCTCAGATTTACGTTTATCGTATCATCACTGAGCAATGGCTGTTTTAACTTAAAACTTGAAAAATGCTGCCATCAAGTACATATACATTGAAGTCTCAACATAAATGACAAGGGCAACGATGATTCAAGAAAAATTAAAACAGCAAGCATAAGAAACATCAGCAACAAAACAGCAGCAAGCATAAGAAACAGCAGCAACAAAACAGCAGCAACAACAACTCAGCAGAGACATCAACCAAAAGGAAAAAGCACTACCAGCAGGCAGCAGCTCATAACAAGTTCAAGCAACTTCAAAATTATAGCTTTTGTTTTTTAAAATTGCTCTCAGAGAGCAATGGTTGTTTTAACAAAAACTTGAGAAATGCTGCCAGCAAGTACCAAAATACATTTAACTATTTAAGTCTCAACATAAATGACAAGGGCAACGATTTTAAAAGTCGTGAAAAATGCTGCCAGCAAGTCTGAAAATAAATGACAAGGGCAACGATTTCAAAAGTCTTGAAAAATGCTGCCAGCAAGTCTGAAAATAAAAGACAAGGGCAACGATTTTTCAAGATAAAATAAACCACAATGAGACACAAATACCAGTTATGCAGATGAAGCACTTTCGGCTTCAATCTCTTTACCAATAAGGAGGACGTCTTCCTCAACATCCGCTTGATAACCACGGCACCAATTTTGGGTGGTAACCAATGCCTCAACATTCTTTGCAAAAGTTTACCCCTATATTTGTTCAAAATACGACCACCCAAACTAAAAGAAGATTCAGAGGCCACCGATGTAATAGGAATGGCCAAAACATCCCTTGCCATATTAGCTAAAATAGGAAGAGAAGAAGCTTGAGATTCCCAATACTTGAGAACATCAAAATGTTCCCCTTGAATTAATCGCGAACGAGGTCCATTCAAATATGCCTCAAGATCAGCCAGAGGGCATCTAGTTGAATCATCACATTCGTCATCAACCTCACGCAACTGCAACAGATTTTTTATTATAAAAGTTAAATTATGACATTACAAATAAAAATAGAAGAATACCATTAATATTGAGTATATTGTATAACATAAATACTGTGAAAATATTTTGAGATCTCAACGTACGATTAGAATTTTCAGATTGAGCTGTGCTTGAAGAGGCAGGATTTCTGCAGCTTGTATTAGATGTAGTAGAATAAAATTTATAGAGGTCATAAAAAGCTTCCTTAATCATCATAATCTTTTCGTCGCATGCCTCATCATTATACAACGAGTTCAACATATGTCTCACTCGAAACAACTTATAACGAGGATCAAGAGCAATAGCAACTGAAAGTATCAAACTATAATCCTCCCAATAACTCTCAAACTTCTCAAGCATAACTGCTTCCATGGGTGCAAGTTTAGGGTCTTTAAAGGCTTGAGTAATAGCGTACTCAATTTTTAAAACACTAACAAAATACAAATTAGAAGTGGGATATTCGGTACCAGAAAATAACATAGTTATATCATTAAATGGCTGAAGGAAATCACAAATTTTTTGAATGGTATCCCATTCATCAGCATCAAGTCTATAAGAAATACCCAAAAACCTACTAGTATATAGAATCAAGCCATCCTTAGCTTCTAAGGCTTTTCGGAGCATTGTATAAGTGGCATTCCAACGAGTCACAACATCAAGACATAACTTACCATTAAAAGCAGAATCTAACTCAGACAAAGCATTCTCAAATTGAGTTAATCTAGAATCAAAAGCATCAATATATTTAACAACCTCACGCAATTTTTCAACACTTTCATGAACTTCTTTTAAACCTCTTTGAACAATAAGATTTAAAACATGAGCTGAACATCGAACATGAAAGAATTTCCCATTACAAGGAAGAGGAGAGCATTGCATTAATTCTTTTTTCAAATATTCAACCATAACATCCATAGAACGAGCATTATCAACAGTCATTGAAAAAGCCTTACCTTGAAGGTTCCACTCTTTAATCAGTTTAAACACAAACTTTTCAACCTCAACACCAGTATGGGGAGGGCCACAATATCTAAAATTTAAAATTTTAGACCTAAGAGACCAACTGTTATCAACATAATGAGCAGTCAAAGTGAGATAGCCTCGGTTAGTACATGCAGTCCACAAGTCACATGTAAAGCTAACTCTACCAGAAACATTAGCCAAAGACTCAAGCAACAAGGATTTATATTTATCATGCTCAGCAATAACATACTTTAACATAGTTTTTCTACAAACATGCTGCACCTTAGGATTCAAATATGCATGAAGTTCCCTAAGATATTCATGCTCTACAATATTTAAAAGATATGCATGGCAGATTATAGCTTTAGCAAACTTTTGTAAATAAGTTTTTTGATCAAATTGTGATTCGTTACCGGACTGGAGACCATGCTTTTCCAAATATGCATTAATATGAGCTCTACAAGTTGAAGTACCCGCTTTACCAGGTGCTTTATATTCTTTGCCACACAAATTACAACGAGCATAATCTACATTTTCATTACCTATCGTCTTTACAAAAAAAGTGTAATGCTTCCATATACCTGCGGTTCTTTGACGTTTATTAACAGAAGGATTGATAGTGTCGGTATTACTAGCATCATCAACCGAGACAGAGGCAGCTTGAGAGCTAACAGTATCAAAATTTGATTGCCTCTCATAGCCAAATTCATCATACTCGCGAGACATGACTGAAACAAAAAAAAAACAGCATTTATAACTTATAAGTACCAAATTAAGTGACAGATTCTACTAATAGTGAGCAATTAAGCATGCATTGTCTCATGTGACTGACACTGAAGTCACGACAGTGAATCCTATTCACTCAATACCAAAATTCAACTAAATAGATAGTTCATATTTCAGAATTTTATTTGCACTAGTCAATGTTTCAAAATTCAGAATTATACAACAAACGTGATTACAACATATATCCTAACAGAATATAGAAAGTTATATGCGATACAGTCACATATGTGTACATTTTAAGTACTAACTTTAAGCCAATCATATACAATGCTTGTATTCCAACAATATGGGTTAAAAATATAAAGCTAAAATCCCAATAAATAAACAATGCATGTATTCCAACAATAATAATCACATAATCTGAACAACCCATCATCATTACTTTTAAATCGAGCATAATAAACAACAAAACAGCACAAATCTACCATTTTCCCGTAAAAAACAAAAATACAATCAACAACAAATTTTACTCATTTTAGGCATATTTCGACTATATTCAAGCAAGAACAACAACAATAATCAAATACAAAAACAGAAAAACTGTATTAAAAAAAAAAACAAAAAGGAAAAAGTAATTACCTTTGACGGCTTGAAGGAGATTTGAAGATGGAGAACTACCTGAACTGGAGATCAAAAGAAAAAATCAAGAATGTAGATTATCAGAACTTGAAATAAAAAAAAACCGAAACGAAAACGAAAAAAATCGAATAAATTAACAAAAAAATTACCTTAGGGTTCGACGGCTTGAAGGAGAGGAAGATTTGAAATCAGAAATCAGAAATCAGAACTTAGATCCAAAACAAAAATGAAACGAAAACAAAAACCCTAAATAAACAAACCGAAACAAAAACGAGAAAAATCAAAACGAAAACAACAAAAATTAACAAAAAAACGAGAATGTAAAGCGAGAAATCAGAAATGTAGATCCAAAACACAAATGAAACGAAAACAAAAACCCTAAATAAACAAACCGGAACAAAAACGAAAAAAATCAAAACGAAAACAACAAAAATTAACAAAAAAACGAGAATGTAAAGCTAGAAATCAGAAATGTAGATCCAAAACACAAATGAAACGAAATTGAGCTTGAGATTCTTGAGAATTTCAGAACGAAAGAGTGAGAAACTGAGAAGTTAGAGAGAGAAACTATGACAGATTGTGAGATTGAGAGAGAAACGGCTGAATGAGTGAATGAGAATGGCTGAGAGAGTGAGAGTGGGTTTTTTTTTTCTAGGTTTAGGTTTTACTTCAGTTGATCTAACCGTCCATATTCAATCTCAACATCTAAGTTAGATCTAACCGTTCATTTTTTTTTTTTTTGTAGATTCTAGAATATTCATCTAGATCTAACGGTCTAGATTTTCTTTGTGCTTTTCTAGGTCTTTTTGACCGTTTTTTTTAATTATTTATTATTATTATTATAATAATTATTATTATTATTATTGTTAGTATAATTATTTGTTAATATTATTATTATTACTAGTTTACTACTACTATTATTATAATATTATTATAATAATTATTATTATTATTACTATTATTATTATTATTATTATTATTATTATTAGTTTATTACTTATAAGTTATAAATTGTAAGAAACGCAAATGTTTCAAAATTGAAATTGATTCAATACGACATAGTTAATGACTTAATGAGTTAATGGCTTAATGCTCATCAATATGACAATATCTGACATCTGTGAGTCTGTGATTGTATATCAGTATATATAATAAACTATAAAACTAATAATAACTTAATAAGTAATAATACTAATAACTAATAAAGTAATGAAAATCTAACCATTGTTTTTCATGGGCATTCAATCTAACCGTTGTATATTTGACTATTCGTACATTAGTATTGCATAATGCTTTCATCACCACTTTAATTAGTGATTTCGTGATTTCGTCCATTTAACTTATTAAGTTGTTTGAGTTAGTAATCTAAATAAAGTAACAAACTAAATAACGAATCCATTTAATCTCGTGTAAGTTATAATTTATAAGAAATGCAATGTTTGGAAATGGAAATTGATTCAATACGATATTGTTAATGTATATGTAATTATAGATTAATTATTATGTATATCATATCGTACGAATGTATGGTTGGTATCATTATCATACTATCATAAGTATCATTGCCTCATTGAATTATTGGTATGTACTACAAATCTACAATCGATAAACATATTTACATATCTGATTATTAAAACTTAAAAGTTTAAAACACTTGTTGATCAATCTAATTGAATATTTGTACATTCTTAATTTTCGATTTATCGTATTATAAGTATCAACTCATTAAATCATGGTCATGACGCGATCTTTAAAACAATCATGAATTCAATTCATGACCCAAACTGCTTATAAACCGAACCGACATGATCCAAACCGTTCATAAACCGAACCAATTGAACTGTGTAAACCCTCTACTAAACCGGCCCATTTCAAACTGAACCGACATGATTCGCACCGTTTATAAACCGAACCGATATTGACCCGGGTAAATCCGCCCCTAAACCGAGCCATTTCAAACCAAACCGGCTTGATCCAAACCGTTTGTAAACCGAACTGACATTGACCCGGGTAAACCCGCCCCTTAAACCGACCCGTATCAAACCGAACCGACATAATCCGAATCGTTTATAAACCGACCCGCTTATGACCCAAACCGAATTTAAACCGTAAAGAAATAAACCGAAACCAAACCGAGCCGTGACTAACCCAAACCGAACCAAACCGACCCGCCAGCTAAACTAAACCGTTTCAATCCGAACCGCTCTAAACCGAAACCGACTCAAACCGAGGTCAAACCGAACTGCCAGACCGAAGTCCCACCCCTAGTACATAGTATAACATAAAAAAAATTAATTGCAAAAATTGAAAAAAATAATTGAAAACAAAAACTTAAAAACAAAAAATTGAGAAAGCAGTCGAGTATAATACCTGATATAGTGATATTGTAAATTTGTAATTTGATCTTGGAAGTTGAAATTGATATTGAATTGGAACAAAAAAAAAATGTACGGAGTAGAAGGAGGGGAAAGGCCAAAGGGTTAGGTTTCACAATGAATTAATTTGTCAGGTATTTTTTTTTGGAATTGGGAAGCTAAGGAATCGAAATTGGGAAGCTAAGGATTCTTTTCCTTTTCCTAAATTTTCTCTTAGTTAGCCGTATAAAGCCATCAGTTTTAGTTTTTTTTTTATTTTTTTTATTTTTTTAATTGGGCTTTAAAACTTTTTCCCCAAAAGTCATCAGGGGCCAAGCCCAAGGGAACCCCTCTTGGGTGGGTGGTTTTAGATCTAGGTTTAGTTTGGGAGGGTTAGGGTTAGGTGGGGTGGGTTAAGGTGGGGGCTCTGGTTAGGTTAGGGCTAGGAAGTGGGTCGGGTTTAGATGGGGCAATGTTGGCGGTTTTAAATCTAGGTTTAGTTTGGGAGGGTTAGAGTTAGGAGGGGTGGGTTTAGGTGGTGGCTGTGAACGGTTAGGGCTAGGAAATGGGTCGGGTTTAGGTGGGTCGTGGTGGGTGGTGTGGTTCAGTTAGTTGGGTGGGGGTGGGGTTGACAGCTGCGTTTTGGGTGGTTGTAGGTGGTGATACGCCATGCCGGCGGTGGCGCGATGTATTTTTTTTAATTTCATGAAATAATTTTCCGATGGATTTTTCCGTCCGCTTTTCCGACGACCAGTTCCGACGGAATTCAGGGTGTTTTCGACGGATTTTTTTCCGTCGAAAATGGCCGGTTTTCTAGTAGTGTGTGAGCAATGTTATCTATTTATTTATTTTTTTATTTTTTGAAGAAGAGCAATGTTAAAAGTTGAAACATGTTACAAGTATAAATAAAAATGGAGAAAGTACCATGCTCCGTATATTGAACTCCCTCGGCAACAATTTTTCACACATATATTGAGAGGCAAAAGAGGTACGAATTTAACCATCCAACTAAAGTCAAAAGATATGATTTGATATACAAATTAAATGGAGGATATGCTACTAAATATGTACAACAAAGTTTCACAAATTCACACTTAGCCTTTATTTTGTTGATATTTTCTTCCTTTTTGAGACCTTTTCCCATTGATATAAGAACAATGCACAAAATATATAGATACTACTGACCTAGCTACTGTATTAATTAATTTGCATCACAAATTCAAAAATTCACATTCAAGAAAAACCAAAAAAAAAGGGAATACAAATGGAAACTATGAAATTGACGCTAGTTTTCCTCTTTGTTGCGCTTTTCTGTTCAAATGTTCATTGTTGGGGCATTGATGGTCATGCATCTGTTTGCAAAATTGCTCAGGTTCTTCTTCTACTTTTCTTATAACAATTCATGTTACATTCTTTTTTTTTTTTTTAAGAAGAAATTCATGTTGTTCTGATTAATTTATAGTATAATGTTCTGGCCAAGTTATTTTGTTAACGTTCATTATTAATATTGTACTAATCTTCTTTCTTCACCATATTTTTTTTCTTTGATTGAATCTTATTTATTCGCTGCATAGGGATTATACTGATACTCTTTGAAACTTGCAAGTAACAATTTACTAAAACATAACCTTTGTAAAAATTTTGCAATCGATCAAGAAAAGGTTGTTATTGTTACTTGTAACGTATTAATTACTTGGTTTCAAAAAAAAAAAAAAAAAAAAAAAAAAAAAAAAAGTGCTCGTATTAATTACTTGTATGTTAATGATTTTATCTAGTTAATTAGCTAATTCACTTGATTTGCTATTACTCATAGCTGATTCACTTGATTTGTTTGACCAAAAAGATTTTGACTTATTATAGTATTACTTATTACCGAGTAGTTGTTTATAAATACCATTAATATTGATTCTTTCTTAAAATTATTGATTGTTGTTTATGTGCAAACTACTGAACTAGTCAACTTTTATACCATATTCAAAAGCCAAAATCCACGACAATTTTTAGTACTCTCTTTAATTTGGTCTATAAAGCAAAATTTTCTCCACATTTTGGTTTTGACTTAAATAACTTAGAATGTCATTGACTTAAATAGTGTGTTCGACTACTTGACCAAAAAATAAAGACAACATACAATCAAAAAAGATGTCCTAATGTGGCGAAAACTAACCGATTGATCAAACAATAACAAAATACAACCTGCGCGGACTCCTAGACAAAAGTTTTTAAGCATGATTAATGAAAAATAGGGGTGTGTGATTAAGTAAAAATCTTTTAAAAAAAAACCAATTAAACAAAAACCCCATAACCATAGAAATCACCAAAACCACCAACCACCAAAACCCATAACCCAAAACCACCACCAAAACGACCGACAACCACTCAAACCACCAACAACCACTAGAACCACCAAACCCACCGAAACCCAGAACCCAAAACCACCACCGAAATCCTTCGACGAACCACCAACACCACCCCCGCCAATATTCGATTAGATGAACCACCAAAACCACCCCCACGAACCACCAAAATCACCGACGAACCACCAAAACCCTTCGACTACCACCAAAACCACCCCCACAAACCACCAAATCCAACCACAAACCACCACCCCCTCGCACCAAGACCCAGACCAGCCGCAGTAACGGGCTACCCACAAACCCAGATTCCCAACCCACAAAATCGTACCCATAAACCCAGATCCCCAACCCACAAAATCGAGACCACTTTCTAGATCTGAAATTGAGTGTCTTTCTTCTTCAATTCATGAAAAGTGGTTGAAGGAGGAGAGAGAAAGTTAATGTTAAAGAGTATGGAGGAGAGAGAAAGATAATGGGCAAGAGGAAGAAGATGATGAAGGAGGAGAGAGGAAGATAATGGGGAAGATGATAAAGAAATGAATAGGGATTGATGATTAATGAAAGATAAAATAAGTTTATTAGATTAGATTAGTTTCTAATCAATTATGTTTTAAGTAGGTAAATAATGTTATAAAGTTTTAAATAAGGGTGTTTTTGTAATTTCATTTAAAAAATGTTTTTAAAAATAGCAAGATTTGGGAATGTTGTAAATAATAGGTAGCACCTATTTTTAGTAAATGTTGCAAATAACTGTTAACGGAGGATAGAAGAATATTTTAAATTAGTAACACTATACTCTTGTGCGAGTTCATGATTGGTGTTGAATTTAGGCCCGTATACATTATTAGATACGGATAACACCTTTTCATTTTATTTGAGTGTCAATTAAATTGAAAGTGAGCTATCACACTAATTTATTATATGCACGAATAACTTGATGTATTATATACATGTGTATCACACCGTTAATTATGTATAATTGTTGGCAGTTGCGGTTAAGCGATGGGGCAAATGAAGCAGTGAAGCAGCTGCTACCAGATTACGCGGAAGGGGACTTAGGGAGTTTATGTTCATGGGCAGACCATGTTAAGTTCCGTTACCATTGGTCTTCACCCCTCCATTACATTAACGTCCCTGATTCTCTTTGCACTTTCCTGTACAACAGTATGCCCTCTTCTATTACTCATTTGCTTTTTTTCATAATGTTTTTACTTCTTAATTTCTTATCATTTATCCTGAGTCATTTTATTCGGATGATTCAGGTACATTTTTTATTGAAAAGTTGAAAATGAATTATTCTCTTTATTTTTAAATACGGACAACAAATGACACACATATTAATGAACAACGTTAACCTTAAAATAGTTTAACAACACTTGGGGTGCTTTGAGGGAACTATCAATGGTTCAAATTGAGTGTAAATTGAGTTGTAAGTTCTTTGTAATACGGCGGTAAACGTTTTATAAGTGTTAGTTGGGTAACGTATTTGGAGGCATCCCAAGCCAAGTGTCACATAAGGCTGGGGCCATGAGGCTAGGATAGGTGGGATAGCTATCATCGTGGCATGTAGTGTGGTGTCTTCAAGTTGGTTTATGTACTTGGGTTTCATAAACTTATAAATACCAAATTAACCTTGATCTATCCTATAATAATATAATATTGATACCGGCATAACACATTAACCACCCAAGGAAAAAAAAAAGGTGTTTATTTAGTTAGGGCCTGTTCACATTAATTTCAGTTCAGTTCAATTCAGTTCACTTCAACTCCTAATTTTCCTCTCTCGTTAATATTTATTCAGCTCAATTCAGTTCAATTCAGTTCAACTCCAATCAGTTTTGTTCTGCTCCAATCAATTCAATTCACTTCAGTTTAGTTCAGTAAATGTGAACATACACTTACCCTCTTTAGATTTCTCTCATGTATATTTCTAAAAAGATACATCACCATTAATATGTTTCAATTAAAAGAAAACACATAAGATTTCTATCATCTTTCTAAAAAGTAAGATATATGTCACCCTAAACACGTTTCAATTAAAATAAAATACATATATATGTAGTTGAAATCATTTCCCCTAGATTTAACGTGCATAATAGGGCTTCTATTACCAACATTTTTTTTGTTTTAATTGTTACGTATGACTATTATCTTGAAGTCAATGGTGTCCATTTTTATATATATTTTAAATTTAATTTTTTTTTTGAAACAATCCATTTTTATACTTCATTTGGTAATTTTTAACTCTCTTAAATGTAAATTATTTTTATATCTAATATAATCAATTTCATCCATAATACTAAAAGCGAATCTGACATGACACTTGTCATTTTCCGATTAAAAATTTTCCGCCACTTTTTTCTTTCCATTTTTTTTCTTTTTTTGTACAAAATCTTCATTAATGTTATTTTATATACCCTATGATATTTAAATTTCAATTTGGCAACTATATACGAAATTTATTTTATATGCATACCTTTCGTATTTTTTATAATAGGTATTTTTCTATAATAAACAAACACATAATAAGGTAATATATTAGAATAATAAAATGTACTACTCCTGCACTTCGTATCATTCTACAATATATTTTTTTTCTTTGAAAGTTTTTTTGTTCTAACCAGGATTTGATACTTTAGCTATTATTATATATTTATTGATTTTTTTATATATAATACGAGTAATAACATTACAATTCAATAACTATAAACATAAATATAAAAAAAATTAAAAAAATCATGATTATTAATTTTCATAAAAATTAGTCAATTAAATTTGTAAAACATTGTGCCAGTTATGGTATGCTATAAAATATTGTGCCGGTCAAAACATGCTAACAAAATAAGGACATATAGGTATATACATTGCACGGGTTATAATTATAAATTGCATTCTCATATAAAACACTATAATCATTAAATTTTTGTGTTTTTTTAATGTTTAATAATCAATAACTTTTGATAACAATATAATATTAATTCAAGTTTTTTTGTTTTGTTTGTTTTTTGTTTTTTTTTCTTTTTGAAAAGAAATTCAAGTATTTGTGTCAATTAAAAATATTGTTTTTTTTTTTGAAAAAAAAAATTATTGTTGTATTAACATTATAATTCACCGATTCATAATTTGATTAAGTAAAAACCGTGCGTTGCACGGGATTTAAACTAGTCATCATATATGACTCAAGAAAAATATTATCTTCATATATAATACGAAGTATATTATAACATAACATAGATTATAGATTACAAGAAAGATTAATATATTACACGAGAATAATTTATTATAAACAATAAGGCTATATTTTCTAGAATCCTACCAGCAATGATAGTAAGAGTATAAATGATAATATTCCAATACTATTTTAAGCATATGCTATACAAAAAATATACGACAGCTAGCGAAAAGATTTGCACAAGGTATGCTATCATTGACTTGGTACTTGATTTGATTGAGGATCATGAGTCTGATTTGATTGAAAATCGTTATCCTTAACGATACTTTCAAGTTTCCTTTTCAAATTAAATTTGTTGATCGGATATGAAACAGTCTTAATTGGTCTAAATTCACGTCTCCGTGCTTATGTTACATGTTTGGCATATTGTAACATTGTATGCTTAATTGCTTATGTTACACTCTTTTTAATTTGGCATGCACACCTAAACGGTTTAAAGGGGATTGCAAGGATGAAGATGGCGTGAAGGACAATTGTGTTGCTGGGGCTATTAACAATTACACCACTCAACTTATTGCCCATAAAAGTAACAGTCTTGTTTCATCGTCTAATCAATGTAAGACTCACTTTACCTAACTAATACGAGTTTGTTTAATTTTATTATTTATGGATTATAAAGTATCTATTAGCTATTACTAAAATAGGTCATGTTGATATCATTCACTCTTCAATTTCGGCACTTATTTGTTTCTAGGAACATTCTTGTTGCGTTGTAATTAAAATGATTTTTTGTGAATAACTACCTTATACAAGACAATTTTTGTGAAAAAACTACCTTATTAAAAAAATGTTGTAAGAAACTACCTTATAAATAATAGATGTTGTAAGAAACTACCTTATAAAATAATTAATGTTGTAAAAAACTACCATTTACCGAATTATTGCATTGAATAAAAGACGTTTAATGACCCATTTTCAATGATTTTTTTCTCCTTTTCCCACCAATTTCTCCATAGTCCCCTTATAACCCCTAACTTACATTTACAGTTTTGTCATTTGATAAATATCTTTTATTTATCAAGGAGATAAACTTGTATTTTTCTCTTTCAATATAAAAGAACATAAATTAAAAAGTGAAATAAGAACAAAAGAATGTGACATTATTTTAATAACATGATCAAGTTATAAATAATAATAATAATGATTAAAAAAAACACACACATGTAATACGTAATAAGCGAGAGAAAATGTGTATCATGAAGTTGAATTTGCGAGGTATGTACGGAGTAATACTTAATTACTTATTGCACCATCTTCTAAAACATTGATTGATTGCTTTTTAGCCATTTTTAATTGATACATGCATTGTCCTCATTACTCTAATTTAACCCCTTGCGGTTTATGCTCTTAGTTTCCTCTATTTAATAAGCTTCTATTTCGTTATCTAATAATAAGTACAAAATAGTAAAACTTTTCTGCATTCCCTATATTATATACTTGAAATTATGTGATCGATATAATTATCATAGTTATTGGATTCAAACTAATGTTTTCCTTCAATTTATTACTCCTTTATTTGACAGATAACTTCACAGAAGCACTTCTTTTCCTATCTCATTTTATTGGAGATATTCACCAGGTATATAATTAGGTCTTTAGAATTATTTAGAATAAAAAATAATATTATATTTGTGTGTGTGTTTAAAGGAGGGGGTATTATTAGACATTTCTATCATTTAAGTTGTTTACTCGTAGAATATAAAAAAACATGACAAAACTTCTTATGATAAACACGTTTGTTGTGCTCAAGTAACAGGTAGATCCATGTGTCTTAATCAAAAGTGTACTTAAGTTCAAACTTTCACGCTTTCCTAATTCACATTATGTCACCACAACTTCGAAATGATCAATTTTCTTACCCTCCAAACAAGGCCACAATCAATATGCCAATTTGGGTAACGTATAGTATTGTATAGATTTAGTACAAAGAACTTAGACAATGTATGGTCAAGCTCTTGAAACAATTTCTAGCTAGACTTTAAACACTGAAGCAGCACCTTTTACAAGTCAAGGCAATCTAGTTTTATCGGTTGAATTCATTGAGAATGAAAAGGTAAGGATAAGGGAAACTTCACCCCATAGAGCTCCCAATGGAATTTGATTTGATCATAACCATTTAAGTTATGAGGTTAAACCCTTGCGACTATGCCAAACCTTGCATTGTAGAAATATATGCTTTGTTTAATATTAATTAATCTGTAATTAGTTATGTGTATTTGAAGCTAGTGAACTTCAATGGTATGTTGAAATGATTACTTTTAAGTAAGATTAGTTTAATTTTTTTTAAAACGAAATAGTTTTGTTTTTTAGAAATTATTTTCACTTATACTTCGTAGTTTATTTAAAATCAATTTTCGAACAGAAATTAAAAGTAGACATATAGTTGTAAAAGCTAGGCTAAACAGTACATACCCTTATTGGCATAGGAATATAGGATTGTGTACAGTTCCCCTTCTTCCTCAGGCCAGGGTTCATTTTTCATATCACTTGAGCATGTAAATGAGTAATGACATATATTTGCATGTGTGGAGAAAATCAACAAGGGTATTATACTCCACCATTATTTGTCTCTTTAAAAAAAAAAATTACTTCTTCCTCCGTTTTTAAATACTTGCTCCATTTTTCTTGGACACGTGTACCGATGCTAAACTTTGATCACTAATATCTTTAATTATCAGTAAGTATAAATTCTAACAATTGAAAATTAATAATCTATTCATTGAGATGATTCCAACAAGTACCCACAAGACTATATTTTTTCTTATGTATAAATCACAAACATTAGTCAAAGTAAGACAAATGAATAGTGCAAAAAATAAAAATGGAGTAAGTATTTAAAAACGGAGGGAGTATCTTTTAGTTTATCCTACATAATTGGTCACTTCACTTTTATTAAAAAAATTGATATACATAACACAACAATTTGTGCCTCCTAATCTCCTATATGTAATCTAAAAATTATTGCTATCAAATTCATCTAGGAAGTATATCTAATCGGGAGTAATATTTTTACCAGTCATAAACGAGTAACACTACTAACGTGATTAATATATGTCATATCAGCCACTACATGTGAGTCATGTTTCAGACAAGGGAGGAAACACAATAGATGTGCACTGGTACACAAGGAAGACTAATCTACATCACGTAAGTTATTGCGTTACTTCATTTGTATTACGGAGTACGGAGTACCATTTTATATTATGGTTTTGTACTTTCAAAGAAATTGAAGGCAAAAAATTACTGAAATTGATACAATTGCAAACTAATACTAGTGTTATTGAATTTAGGTTTGGGATGACAGCATTATTGAAACAGAAGAAAAAGACTCGTACAATACAAATGTGGATGACCTCGTTGCTGCAATCCAGCATAATATTACGGTATTATCATTCTTCTATTTTTCACATAGACTTATTTTATGATCATGAGATTTGTATATGCATAAATTTTTATATGCGGCCTATTTACCGTGCGGCAAGAGTTACTTGAGTTTCTCGATCAGGGGTTACTTGAGTTTCTCGGTCAGGGTTTATTCGAGTTTTCGGGATTACTTGAGTTTCTCGGTTAGGGGTTACTAGAGTTTTTCGGTCAGGGGTTACTCGAGTTTCTCGGTCAGGGGTTACTCGAGTTTCTCGGTCAAGGGTTACTCGAGTCACAATTTTTTGAATGTGGACTCACTAAGAAACTCGAGTAACCCATGACTAAGTAACCTTTAACCGAGTGAACCTCTTGAGTAACCATTGTTTGAACCCCTAAGTAACCCCTCAGTGAAAAACTTAAATAACCCCTGACTGAAAAACTCAAGTAACCTCTGATGACCGAGTAATTCAAGTAACCAAAAAACTCAGATAACCCCTGTCGCATGGTTTGGCCTGCTGCACCAAAAAATTGCTGATATATATGTTAATATTGCAAGTGGTAAGAAATTTTTTCTAACCAATTTATTATTTTAATTCTGTGATTTAGAATGAATGGGCTGATCAAGTTCCAGAGTGGGAAAACTGCGATCATGACAAACCAACATGTCCAAACATGTATGTTCTTCAACTTTAATTTATTGGATCGATCATTTATTACAATATTATGTTTCAGTTAGAACCCTTCTTTATATAATTCCAATGCAATAATCTATTTTAATTAATAATGTGTTTAGGATGTTTCAAATAAACAATTAAGTGTTTAGAAACTAGGAAGTAAACCTTAATTAGTAGACTCATTAGTTTATATTCCAATGTTTGAGGGGGTAGGGAGCTAAACTCCTCACACGTGCTAGAGTTTGGAACCATTAAGTTAGGGCCTGTTTAGTCCTCTTATTTTCACTTATCTCTGGTTTAATAAGTTTGTGATAAATTACATTTAGAAAATATAAGTTCTACTAAGGGTTAATAATAAGAGCTACCCAACTTTAAATTCAAGTAAACTAAGTATTGATTGGTTTAATAAGTTCAAATAATTTATATAAGGAAAAATCAGATGAATAAGCTCACCCTTAATTACTAGTTAGACCTAGCCATATGCTTATTAATGAATTAATGGCAATATGGCATGCCGCATACTAGGGCCGTCTATGATCTCCGACAATTTAGTGGCCTTGTTCTAATTATTAAAATTGGGCCCTTCAATTTTAGAGGACTATTTTAAAAGGTTAAAAATATTATTATTATAAAATGACAATTTTTTTAAAGTACATTACAACAAATTATTATAGAGCTAAAATATTCATATTACTAAGTTTAATAGTAATTGAATAAAACAACAAACAAAAACTTTTTATTTAAAAAGTATAATCCTTCTAATATTTTTTAAAGCAAAATGCTCAATTATATTTTTATAATCAATTTAATTTTGTTTTGGAAATTAAAAAATAAAGTCAAAGATTTAAGATGAATTTTTAGGTTTTAGGGCCTATTCTCTTACGTTGAAATTCAGTTCAGCTCAGCTCAGTTCAGCTCAGTTTAGTTTAGTTCAGTTCAGCTCAGTTCAGTTCAGCTCAGCTCGGTTCAGTTCAGTTCAGTTCAGCTCAGCTCCTTATTTCCTTCTCTTATAAAATATTCAGTTCAGTTCAGCTCAGCTCAATTCAGTTCAGTTCAGTTCAGTTCAGCTGAGTTCAGTCAATGAGAACATGCCCTTAGTTTGGAAAGTGTGATCTTTAGAAGAAGGTGAATATGTGAGGTTATGATTTTTTTTTTTAATTATGGGCCCCTGATTTTTGGGGGCCCTGTTCCGTATGTGAGAAAAAACATGTCTAAAGACGGGCCTGCCGCATACGTATGCATGTGTCGGAAAACAAAAGAAGTAAATTAACACGTTATTCTGTTGCTATAGATATGCATCAGAAAGTGTAAATGCAGCTTGTAATTGGGCTTACAAAGATGTTGATGAAGACTCAACACTAGAAGGTAAGCCATTAATCATTGGTCTAGCTATACTAAAGAATATTAAATTGTGTTCCACTATCTTAGTTGACATATAATCTATTCACTTACTGCAGATGATTACTTCTTTTCTCGATTACCAATAGTTAATCAACGATTAGCACAAGCCGGGGTACGATTAGCTGCCACACTTAATCGTGTGTTTACTTAACAACTTAACTGGTGTAATTTGTGGCAATTTCCGAATTCGAATTTAGTAGGCATCTAATAAAGGTTGGATTATTGGCAAATCGATCGATTATAAAAGATTTCTTGTTATATTAACTCTAATACTTGATGCCCCTTCATTACTAAATTTTCTTTCTGTTTTGACTTTTTTTTTTTTTTTTTTTTTTTTTTTTTTTTACCGTTCAGATAGAAAGAACTTAAGGAAAAGCGTAAGATATATGATATTTGGATCCAGTAATAGTGCTCGTATACAAATGATTGATAGGAAGGTGAAATCTACAAATTACATAATTCTATGAGTAAAAGTTAGTATTTTATTGGCAATGTCAAAGCTCACTTGAGTATTATTGGTGTTGTTCTCTCTTATTTTTCAATGTGGGACAAAAACTCTAAACTTACACGTGAGTAATTTTCCTAACGATTGATAACTTATGTAACGTGTTCTCCAAGGTTCTTCATACATGTATCTTAATACACTACGTGTATGTGTAGCTTTGCTCCCATTTTAGTAGTTATATATCACCTTCCCATCTCTTTTTGTTTCAACCAAATTAGCTCAAACATGGGTTACTCGTAGGATCAAAACAACACTCTTTTTCCAAAAAGGTAACTTAGGCTACGTAGCAATGTATTTTGAGAAGAGACGTTTATGTGCACTAAACTATTGGAGTGAATTGTACATTTCATCAGTCTTTGTTTTTTTTTATCTGGCAAGTTTCCACTATTTTTCCATTTTCAAGTAGTGATTTGTGAATATGAGTGCAATGATCAACATTTCCCCTTTTGCTTACTTCTTGTTCTTGGACACTTGCCAAAACTAAACGTGCGTAATTTATTAATTTGCACCTTTATATTAAGAATGCATGAACGCCTTAAGGACAGTGGTATAGACGAGATTGAATTATAGATGTTACATAGGCTAGTTGGTGTTAACACTCCCCATTTTGTAGAAATACATAGTATAAACCATGCATATGCGGATATGCCCATAATATTACAATTATTCCCACACAAAAGGGCATCTCTTTGCTTTGCCATTTTCTTTATCTATCTATCTTGAAAAAGCATAACTCATGATAAAAGTTAGAGACAGATTCTTGTTTTTTGCTACAGATATGATAGAAGAGTCAACATAAATTGCAAAAAAGGTAGAAATTTGAAATGTAATAGAGCATTTTAATTAAGTATATTTCAAGGATATGCCAGTTTTTCTAGACTTAAACTCCATGTTTAAGATAACAAAGCCCCCCTATATATACAGAGAGCTCCTCCAAAGGTAAAACTCGTGAAAGGCAACTGACTCACAAAATTGGAAGTGTAGGCATTTTTTGAGTTGCCATTACATGAAGCAAGTGAATTAGTCATGGGGCGAATCTTCCTTGGCATGTGATGATACAATGGCATGGACTTGTTAAAATGTTATGCATGTTTGGTTGCCATTCACTTGCCAAAGGAGAGTTGCCCTATGACTACTTCAGCTTGATGATTTACTGTTACAGCATTTTGCTGCTATTTCTTATTCTGGAATTTCATCTGTTGATAAATGAATTCAGGTGATGTCTATATAAATCTCATCAGCAATTCAGAATTTACAATGTTTTGTCTTGCTTATATTGATGACTACTTGTTTGCTTTTGCAAATGGCTATTTTTGAATTCTGAACCTTTTACAAATAAAACTGAGGTACAGCATTGCTGCCATACTCTGACTCGACAACAGGTTATTGAAATGGCACATAAAAAAATACTCTTTGCTGCCGATACTTTTGTGTTATGTAATTTTACTCCCTAAATTTAAAGCTTATTTTGTATTCCCTCTGTCACCATATAACAGTTTCATTTGCCATTTGCACACGTTTTTAAAAAGATGAAGATGATGAGCATAGATTGATTAAGTTGGATATAAAAAAAACAAGATAGTAGGATTTGGTTAATTAAAAATAAAAATAAAAAAACTATTTGTAGCCGAAACTTTTATTTAGAGACAAGATGGAGTATTATGATGTTTATGTTGGATAGATGAACTTGCTAAATGGTAGTGATAGTTGCTATTACTAATAATGCCTAGTTGATCAATCTGCTGGTTGTGGAATGACTACTTTCTGACTTATATTGATATCTCTTGTTTTGAGTTTGGTGAAACAGCTTCTAAAGTTTTGGTGCTTAAAACTTTTCAGTATGCTATTCAATTTCAACTCTCATCAGAAAATCGGCTTTGAGAATAAAATCATAAAAATGTTTATTGAATTAATGATAGAAAAGTTTTGCCTTTAGTAACATTGATGCCCCATTAGGCCATTATCATATTGATTTTTTCTGTAAATGTTTTAGACAGTTAGAGAGAATATTAAGTCACATTGTTAGCAAAAACACAAGTTTCCATCCTAAGACTTCTGAGCAGAGCATATAGTATATTTCATTAGCTAAACAGACTTCAGTGTTTTGTGAAACATCAGTTTCTCACTGACAGTAGGTCACTTTAAGAAGAATAGCATTCACATAGACTGGTTTCATTACTTACAACTATTATTTTAATACAGAACAAAAAACATTTAAAATAATTTGCAAAATTTATCATTGAGGGGTGTAGCTACTTGCCTACACCCCTCAATTGCATGTGTTACAGTTCAACTTTGTCATTGTTTTCAAAGGCGGTCTAGTAAAAGAGAGGAAAACTGAAGTTTCCTTAAGAAATTCTTTCTTTTTATACTGAATACGAATTATACATTAATTCATAGAAACCACTATGTCATTATTAGCTAAATGATCCATCTCTAACACAAATTCACCTAGTTGCCTGTAAAAGGTAACAACAGAGGTTATATTTGACAAAATTTCCTTTGACTAACCACAATATAGTGAGCTACCTTGATGAAGCCTTTCTTCCTAGTATGGTTGATGCTACATTAAGTCGATGAGCTTGCATCTGCAATTATGTCATGTTTGATTATTAAGACTATTGCTACGTATTGCTGCAGAAATACTATTGATAGCAAGTAAAGTAGGCAGTGATAGCCTGCACTAGTTAGTTTACCTATAAAGCATTTTTGCAGTGATATTTTTGTTTCATTGTTCTCAAATTCCAACTCTTTATACCACTTTCTTTCTACTCTTACCTCAATCAATCTTTCCAAGCCTTCAGGCCCTATGGGAAGCTTGAGGCATGGACATGAGAACACCGTTAGATGTTCTAAAGTTGGAAAAACAAGAAGGAACCATGGTTGAGTAAGGCTTCTGATGTTCTTCAAATGTTGCAGCTTTAATTCCTGCAGCCGAGGAAAGATGGTATGGGTGTACTCTACCCCTGTGCAGGTATCATTTAGCTGACCTGATGGCGCACCCATCTGAATCTCATGATCTCCAATGTAACCAATTACAGCTTCCATAACTTCGCAATTTGATCTCTCCAAGTAATGCAGCTAATTTAGTATTATAGCAAAAGCTAAGGGGAAGAGAATCTTTACCAGTTTACACTCCTCAACTTTCACATGTTTCAAGCTCTGAAAGCTTGTAGATGGAGCAATACCTCTACATAGAGCTATCAAACTAGGGGCATCTCGTGGTTCATGATGAGGTGTCATGTTATGATTGGTCCATTTTTTTTTATTTATTTTTAAATACCTAAATATACTATACATGTATGTATAATTGTGAATATGTGGTTTTTCAAAAAAAAAAAAAAAATTGTGAAATATGTGTATTTTTTTAGAATACATAATTATAGTTTTTTAAAATCTATTTTTAACTTAATTAAAATCATTTTCAAAAATTAAATTAGAGTTCCAATTTAGGAAAAAAAAATTCATTATTGTACTTCGTTGTTCTTCATTCATGATAGTTTTGATTAATGTATAATCTATTCGCAATGAAGACCGAAATTCCGACAACAATTCAGACCAAAATTCCAACCAAATTCCGACCAAAATTCCGTCCAAAATCCCATCCAAATTAGGGTACAAATTTCGTTTAGGGTTCGATTGATGATTTTGATTAATGTAAAAATCATTTTATTTGATAGTTTTGAAAATGGAAAAAGCCTTAGGAGTGTGTAATATGATGGTGTAAAATGCTTAATTTTCAGTTTTTTATTATTTTTATTATTTATTTATTTTTTTTAACGTCAATGGATAACAAGGGTTTGCTATTTAGTTTAGAGTTCCTTTTTTTTCTTTTTTTTTTCCGCATTGATTGATCCAGAATTTTGTTTTGCGATTTTTGAAATATGTTTTTGATTAGGTAATTACCTGTATTTATTTAGGTCATTACCTGTGTTTATTTAGGTCATTACCTTAAAGTTCTAGTTATAGTTGTTAACTCGAATGAACAATACAAGAGGGGGGTGAATTGTATTGTAGAGGAAGTAGGGTAATTTTTGCGGAATTTATAAAGAAACTCAAACAAAACTAAAAGTGCAAAGAGAGATTTTACGTGGAAAACTTCTTGGCCCTAATAAGAAGGAAATCCACGATCACAAGGGATTTTAAAACTCAACTCTTAATAATAATACAGCAAACAACCTATTACAAATTAAGACTCTAAACTCAAGTTCCTCAACGAACTCAAGCTCCCTTCAACTGATCCCTCAATCAGTTGATCTCTCTAACTCTCTCTTTTTCCTTGCTTCACTCAAAGCAATAAACACTCTTAGAGTTTCCCCAAACTCTATCCCAATACAACTCAAGATTAAACTCTAAATCCTAAGTGCAAAGACACTCAAGGACTTAAGTGGATTATGACTCTTTTGAAAGCTAAAAGATTGTAATGCTCAAGTGTATTTTTCCAAACAGAAAACCAAGTTTATTTATAGGAGGAGAAGGAAGTTAAAAACCACTGTTTCCCTTAACCTCCACTTACCCACATCTTCCATGAAATTAGGATATGCAGTTCATGGGAGCTTGGGCAACAAGCTAAAACATTTTATCAGGAAGTGGTTTTACAGCTCCCTGATTTTTCTCAACCTCCTAGACCAAGTAAAACACATGTTGGAAAGAATATTTTCCCAAGTCAGATTTTCCTAAAAGATAGACTTAGATAAAAGTAGAAAATCCTTTTTAACAAAAAGATATTTTTCGAAATTAAGCAAGTTAAAATATGGATAATAAAATCCTTACTTAATAAAATTAAATCCACTTAAATCCTAATTTATCATTGTACTTAACACAAATACAAGAAGCCTAAAATAAAAATAAAATACATTAGGCTCCTTGAAACTCTGAGAAGATTCGACTCTGAAGCTTCAGTTCCTCATGTAAGGAACTCCCCTTTGAAGCTTTAATTCTGGAGCTTTAGTTCCTCACTAAAAGAACATGACTTGTGATTGTCTTTTTTATCCTTCCATTGTAACACCCCGACCCCAAATAAATTAGGGAGGGGCCTATTGCCACGAAATGCGCATCAAGGGCCAACAATAGTCCTCACAAACCAATACAAGTCCTTTAGGCACATTTTGTCCTCACTCATGCGCGCCATAGGAAAACTTTCCAGGAGGTCACCCATCCCAAGACTACTCTCAGGCAAGCACGCTTAACTATGGAGTATTCTTATCATATGAGCTCCATAAAAGGAAGATGTATCTTGTTGTTAGCCAAAGTGTTACATCCAGTCTAGCTACAGTTATATGGCCCCAGAATTCTCCCCTGCTAGACGACTGACATAGGATTAATTATCTACGGTCAGCACGCGGTCGCAGGGTTGCTCTGATACCATTTGTAACACCCCGACCCCAAACAAATTACGGAGGGGCCTATTGCCACGAAATGCGCATTAAGGGCCAACAACTGTCCTCATAAACCAACACAAGTCCTTTCGGCATATATTTTCCTCACTCATGCGCGCCCTAGGAAAACTTCCCAGGAGGTCACCCATCCCAAGACTACTCCCAGCCAAGCACGCTTAACTATGGAGTATTCTTAGCATATGAGCTCCCTAAAAGGAAGATGCATCTTGTTGGTATGAGTAGTATATTAAACTCCTTTTAAAGCAGTCATGAGGGGTATTACATCCATAGCTGACCTATACCTTGTTCCATGCTCCCTTCTTACTCTAGAATTTTGTAGCATAAACCTGTCATTAATCAAAGCTAAAAAGGAAAGTTAAACTTATATGTGTTTGCTTAGGTTCCTTGAGTCATCATCAAA